AAGGGAAATGCTGGAAACACTGAAATGAGGCAAAAAACGCACATTTCGTATAAATTACCAACAGTCAAGTCATCATGTTTCAGGTCGCTTTTAATGCTTCTTTCACTTTGAAAACCGACGGACCAACAAAAAAAAAGTCATATTGCCTTTGTAAAAAAACGCTTTCATAATCAACTCGCTGCGAAGGTGGAGCCATCGGTGGAGCCTCTTTTCCACTACCATTCCCATTTCTACTCCCAATCCCGTCTCTTAGCCAACAGAAATCGGACTTTTGGGTAAGACAGCACTGGGAAAAATTAAGCATTAAAATGCAGTATCTTAAGCTTGAAAATTATTTCCTTTTTTTGAAAATAAATCATCCTAGATTTTGTTTTCATTGAATTAGTTAGAATTAGTTTCTTGAATAATACACAATTTTCCTAATGTCTCCTTAATTTATTTGTACTTAAATTTTTATTTTTTATACATTAATATAATTTCTTTCCAGTGTGGGACTGCCTCAACGTGCGTAATTTGAGTTTGCCATCAAATTAGTTTTTAATTTCTCAACTGACATTGGGAACAAAGCGAACCAGCACAGCGAAAAGCCAGACAAAACACGAACAAACATTAATAATTTAGCTACCACTTTTGGTAGCTGGTCCCAGCTGGTCCCAGCTGGTCTTCTTCTGGCCACTTTCGCATTTGCATGGCTAAAACGACATGGGGTCCCATTAGATTTATGGCTCAAAGCCGCTCTTACGGCGGGTTGATTGATCTGAAAATTATGCACAAGCCCGAGAGAAGATCCCCAAAAATAATAAAATCGACCAACCACGATGATATTGAGGGGCTCCAGAGAGCCGTGTCGCGTAATTAGCCATTGTTATGCGAATTTATTGTTGATTTATGGCATCTATGGGGTATATGAACATTTGAAAAATCATAATTCCAGAAAACCCAAAACAGTTCATCATCTTTTGGGTGCAGAGAAAGTTGTTTCAGATCTAGTGCATTACTTATGCGACTGCAATCGTTGTTATTTCCCTTTGCTGTCTCGCCGCCTTCAGCATTTCCTCTCACTTGCATCATGCATTTTAAATATCTTCCAATATATTGCCTTTAGTCAGTGAAAAAAAAATTAAAAAACGACGCTAAGGTCAAGCTCAAATCTTTATAGTCGGCATGGGGGGCCTGTCCCAAATAAATAAAGCGAATTAATAAAAATAAAGCGAGTCTATTAAGCACTCAGGCTAACATCCTATTTGGAAAAATAATCACGAAAAGAAAGCGGACCTTAAATGAACCGAAGAGTTTAATACCCTAATGTAATAGAAGTAATAGAATATGTTTCTATATTTATTTTGTTTCACATAAAATCCTTCAATTAGTTCAACAGTTTAACATAATCACATACTGATTATAATTTTTCAAGCATTCACAATACAATATTAATGCAGTCTTCTTAATGGATCTCACACTCCCAACTATATGATGGTCTTAACAGCAGCAGCAACCAGCTTATGATAATGAGCAGATCCACTTTGGAGCGTGATAATTACAGGGTATGCAAATTGGAAAGGCAGCTTTAGCTTAATTTATGGTCCGCTGACGGGGCACATTCTAATCAGCCGCAAGACTCATCAGCAAAAGCGAAAATAACATTCACCTTCTATACCCAAAATAAACAAAAAAAAACCCAACGAAATAAAATTATAAAAAAATACACACACAAAAGCAAAGCTGAATTTGTTATCAGTTTGTTTGTTTTGTCAGGCCAATCGCGTGCCTCAAATGTTAATTAATTTAATTAGTCGCGCCAACAAGAAGAACCAAGAGATGACCTTGGCCAGCAGATTGCTGGCTGGGGGATGAGGGTGTTGGAGTGGGAGCCGCAGACGGAGCCCCTTGGGTGCACATTGTTTATGACTTGATTGTTCACCTGCGAACACCTTGCTTGCCCCCCCCCCTGCCTCCCACCTCACGCCCCCATCGCCTGCATCTTCTTCTTCGGCGCCTCAAGGTCACCGCGAATCTTGATGATGTGGACTTTAGTTGTGAATGTGAATGTGGATGCTGATGCCTCTGCAATGGTTTCTAATTTGAATTTTACAACATGCACTTACTTTTATGCTTTGCATTTGCAAGTGCACTGGGGAAAAATATGTACAAGAAATTTATTATACATTTTATACAAGAAATAAACGAAAGTTTAGTAAGTTGTTAACAAGTTGAGATATCCAAGCGAAGCTTGAAAGTATTTTTGGAATCGGAACTTAATTATAACTAAGCATTCTTTTACCAATATTTATCGATATTTTTCTATGAAAATTTGTTCGACGAATCAAATTTAAAAATCTCATAACTTAACGGTTTTAATGTTTTTATTTTTGATCAACTCCTATATTTGATTAACCTTATTGTTTTTTCTTCAACATATTATACTTCCTCATAAATTTCTCGCTGTGTAATTTACTTGTATTTGTCTGCCTTATTTATGGACGAGGCGTCGTGTAATTAATCTTGTGTGAAGCTGCAATAAATGCGAATCCGAATGCGACTGCAACATCAAAAGTTAGTACTCGGTACTAAGTCAAAGCCACATACCATTTGTTTTCGCTGGCTGGCATAAATTTCCTGCATGCTTATTTATCATTTTGCCATTTTCATTTGGCGACGGTTTATGGCATTTGCTTTGGTTGTTAGTCAGTTACTTGGTTACTTGGTTACTTGGGTTACTTACAGTCGCTGCCTTTGGGTTACTGGGATGACGATGAATGCCAAATGGATGGATGGGTCGAGGAGGTGCAGTCAAAAAGTGGCACTTAAGGCCTTTGTTGTTTGTGCATCATGCTGGCTGCTGGCTGCTGGCTGCTGGCTGCTGCCTCAGCTCAGCATTGAAGAGGTGTAAATATTTGTGTATTTACATTGCGACCGACAAGATCGGAATTAAGTTGTCAAGGAAATTTATAGCAAAATCAATAGGCATTGAGGCTTGAACCTACACTTATGAGAAGAGCAAATAAGGAAACATATTTGCATTTCTCATGGAACTAAAACTTGTATTATTTCGGTATATATTATTTAAAAGTAGAATAATATTCCTAAATGATTGGTTTAGAAAATATGTTGTAGTTTGGAAAATTTCCTAAATAATATTTCATTTCATAAAGGTATTTCGAAATTAAATAAATAAATACATTTAAGGCCCCTTAAGTTTAATGCTAATATGGATATTAATACTAATCACAACAATTAATAGAATAAACATGTTAACAGATATATTATTGTTATAATAAAAATATATATTTGATCTCAAATTGATTCGAATTGTTTTTCTGCTTTAGTTTTAGCTCTACAAGTTAATTTATCTTTGCCTAACCTTTCCCAATAACGCAAAAAACCCACACACACGTAATTGGTTGACTAAAGTAAATTAGTAAATTTAATTTTCCAAAAACTTAAGTAATTACATTAAATTATAAAATAGCCAAGACTTCCCAGCTTTGTTAACCACTGTGTTGAGAGGCATCTGCAATTAGCCGCAGAGCAACAATAGTTTTGCATACATTTCTTGCGCAGCGTGAAAAGCCGAGTGAAGCAATCGTAGTTACAAAAGTCCAACGAAAAACATAAAAAAATAGAAAAAATTAAAAACAAACGAATAGCGGCCCACGCACAGACAGCAGACAATTAACTGGCACACAGACACACTTAAATACACTGGAAGAAATGTAAGTTGCTTTAACACAAGTAAAGGAAATATTAGGCACTACAAAAATATAAATTTCAGTCTATTTTTTAAGAAAACATAACTTGTATTGTCATATTTAATAGATATAATTTAATTCTAACCAAGTTAATTAGTAACAAATATCAACTGGTTGAGTTTCAAGGGTTAACCCCTCATAGCAGTTTACATTTAAAAATTTATTGAATATAAATATTTATTGACACTCAAATATTTTTACAAAGTAATTTACCTAAAAGCAATTTCTATAATTTAACAGTTTATGTAATATTTATGAAGGAATTCTCTTAAGTGTATTTGAAAATTCACAGAAGTGCATCCTATGCATATGAACAAATCATGCTTAGTGAAAATACCCAAGCATTTGTATCTGCATATGCTTCTGGATAAACACAAAATAGCATACATATGTATGGAAAGACCCCCGACTGATGATCACTGATCAAAGCCGGCACACGTGTCCCTAGGGAGAAAAGATATAGAAAAAGTGTGGAACAAAGATGATTTAAAATTCATTTAAAGACCAGAATGTACCAGAAGAGTAGATTGTGCCAGCACAGTGGACAAACTAAAGTCATATTTATTTATCAAAGTCAATGGCTAGACTGGCACACATTAAGGCTGATAAAGAAACAAACTAACTGAAGAACAATGAATAAAACCAGCAGAGCAGAGAAGCTACACGCGCTGAGCGTTAACAGCGCCGTTCGCTGTTAGTTAACAGTGCGAGAGTGAGAGCGAGAGAGAGCCATGAATTGCGCGAGAGATAGCATACACAGGAAAATATTTATTAGTAACGAAATATAGAAATATTTAAAATACAAAAATTAAATGGAAAATTTTTGACTAAAAAATTAAATGATTAATTAGCATATTATTTAAATACAGTACAAAATTGGACAACTAATATATTATTTGTCAATTTATGTTTAAAAAATAAGTACATTTAATTTAAAAATATTTATGTTAATTATGTGTACTAATAAAATACTTGTAGAATATTTTATATAAGGTGCCTGGTGATAATAAAATTATAATAATATTAATAATACATCTTAACTTCAGGCGAGTAAAACTAGTGACTCTTAAAATTAATTATATTTTCTACCTTTTCTTTGTGTTAACATTGTTCAAATTAGTTTTTCTCCGTGTATGCTTATATAGAATATGTAACGGTTAGGCGTCGCGTGGGAGCTCTCTTTCCCTTTCGATCGCCCTCTCCCGCTCTGACTTCCGTCTGATATTTTCAAGTGTTTTTTCAAAAATTTCTCTACCGATCAGTTTCAAAAGACACGCCAAACAGTGTGAAACGTTCTCGATCGGTGCGGAATATCTATAATATTCTATAAAATAGCAAGCAGCCTAACGAAAGTTCGAAAGTTTGCCTTTTCAAATCGAAAACAAAAGTCAAATTTTATTAATTAGTTTTCAAAACTCTCAAAACAAGCGATCCTCATACACACACACAGCCAAGATGCACAGCAAATTGTTGGACGAGGTGGGTACTATTCGATCAATTGATCGACTTTCGACCTCTTTTCGTGAATCTATTTCGGAATTATGGTATTATTTATTGAAAGCACTCTTAGTTAGTCATCCGCATCCTGGGTTGGGATGAGTTGTGCCGCAGTGTCATCGGTTTATTTACAACCCACGGAATCATAAACATTTCGTTGGCTTCGAGAAAACTCAACTGCGGAAAAGCATTCTTTTGTTGCGCTGCAGACAAAGCATCCCAGATTAAGGAAATGTTTTTGGATTCCATAGACTTTTGACCAAATTGGTTAAACAATAAACGGAATGAGAACTCCAATTACCAGACTTGTTCTAGACGACGTGTGCGGCTCATAATAGTGATTTACAGTCACAAAATGTGGCTTAATTATGGTCTAGTTTCATTGGTTGACCAACTGGTTTTTTAAATAGTCACGCGTTTGATTTAAATTAAATATTCAGACTCAGCATAAAATTAATGGAAATTTCTTAGCGAACTAGAAACTATAAAGTGTTGATAAAGTTTGTGATTAAATAATCTAAACTGAGGTAAAACCATAGGTAAAATCGAAAAAATAGACTTTGTAAGAATTTGTTTTAAAGTTTTTGCAATTTTCTCTTAAATAATATTCAAAAGTGACTTTAATAACAATAATAACGTTCTTTTCAATCCAGAAACATGGAAATATACACAGCTATTTATGGAAAATGCCACCTTAAATGGAACCAAAAAACCCCTGTTGATTTAAACATTTCAATTATATCAACAATCTAGTTATTTGTTGTGTTTAGCTTAAGTCAAGCCGAAGTTCTAGTTCAACAAAGCTGTGACTTAACATGTGGATTACGAAATTAATGCAAAACAGGCAAAAAAAGCGGCGCAAACAAGCGGCATTATCAAATTGAAAGCGATTACAAAATCAGCTGGGACAGCATGTTATGGCACATTCGAGTACTCGTAGCATACGTGATGAATGCAGTGGCTGACCCTCTGGGGTAATTTTCCATGCACACGCCTCTTGTAATGCCATCGGACACACACATCAGGCACACTCGCACACCAAAACAAGACACCCTCTGCAAGTGTAAGGGTGGGCCCCCACGGCGTATGATTTATTTCTTTGTAGGCGATCTCTGTTAGAGACAGTTCGACAGTCTTATCCGATCCACTTCCCTTCCTCAAAAAGAAAATCTTCAATCAGTTCAGGTGTGCCCGTTCGGGACTCATTTTCTCGTGGGTTTGAGTCACGACGACTATTTTTACTCTCGCTTTTCATTTTCAAATCTTCTCGCTCAAGCAATTTAAATTTATTTAATTTAACCACTAGAGAGTGACAGAGAGGGAGAGCACCCACAACAAAGATGACATATATATAATTATGTTTTGTTTACCAAACCGAACTCGTATTGCCCTTTTGTCAGGAAATGAATAATGCCTTGGGGGATTAATCAACAGTCAATATTTAGGCCAAATATTAAGGTATTTGAGAGGTCTTTGTTAGAGCCATTTTTGGCAAAACAATGAAATGTACAAATTTTCGTTGACTGATTTCAATGAATGAGCACGGTTCTCAATTTATGTCAAAAAGAATTAACATTTTGACATGCACAGGAATTTGTTAATTAGCAAACATTTGAAAAGGTGAACAAAGACCACAAGTGCACTGGGGGAAAATGTTTATTTAGAAGAGGGAATAAAGGAAATTGTTTCTAAAGTATTATGTGCGAATTGAATACTTTTTTTAATTAATTTTGAAGCATATTTCAACCTTTTCAATTACATCTTTTTACCCCTTATAATTTCCAAATAATTCGTTTTAAGTTTGATATATAAAACCGTTAAATTAACTGTTTTATCTTCAAGCAGCCTGATTAAAATATTAAAGAAACTTTGTTTAAATCTCAATCTAAAGGACTCAATTTTGTCTTAAGATTTCTTTATATTTACCTAGAATAAATACCCAATTTACTGAATTTTTCCCAAGTGCATTTCCCTATCAATAAAACCCTAGTACCCCTAGACTTCATAATGTTTAGCTCGTGCCTGTTACATAGTCGGTCAAGCGGTGCGATAACACACTTCTACTTCTAATCAACGATTGTAAGCCGGAGTCCGACTGGAGAGACTGTCCGTCCCGGGACTGTCTGTCCCAAAAGATCCGCCAGACCAGACGGCGCAGGCGATAAGCTTCCACTCAGAGATTAAATAATATATTAACAGAGACCTTCACCCGCTTCCCTACTTCCAGCTGAATGAGAACGGCTACATAGTCATCGAGGACTTCCTTACCCCCGAGGAGGTGGACTCTCTCTTCCAGGCTGGACGAGCTCTGTGCCTGGAGGCACCACAGACCAACCGAAAGATCTTCAGTACCATTAAGGCGGAAGATGCCCAGGGCAAGGAGCTGTACTTTATGGAGTCCGGCGACAAGGTTCGCTACTTCTTTGAGACGGGCGCCGTCGGCGAGGAGGGACAACTGCTGGTGGATCCCATGATTGCCCTGAACAAAGTGGGCCATGCCCTGCATGTGGAGCATCCCACCTTCAATGCCATTACCTTTAGCAACAGAGTTCGTGAGATTTGCTGGCAACTGAACTACAATCGTCCTGCCGTCTGCCAGAGCATGTATATCTACAAGAATCCCGGTGTGGGCGGTGAGGTGACACCACACCAGGACTCATGGTTCCTGCACACCGATCCCAACTCGGCGGTGGGCTTTTGGTTGGCCCTCGAGGATTGCACCCTGCAAAATGGTTGTCTGCAGTTCATCAAGGGATCGCACAAGAGTGGTGTCCATAGGCGCTACATCCGAAATCCGGACAAGGAGGCCACCGAACTGATGGTCTACGATCGGGCGGCGCCCATCTATCCGCAGTCCAGCTTTACGCCAATGCAAGTCAGCAAGGGTGAGTATATGAAGGAGCTTTATAAGACAATTTTTTCTATATTAATTAATTTTAATTAATGAAGGAACCTGCATCCTCATCCATGGCAATGTCGTCCACAAGAGTGAACCAAATCGCTCCCAGAAGAGTCGCCATGCCTACACGTTCCACGTGATCGAGACTGAGAACAATGTCAAGTATTCGGAGGATAATTGGCTACAGGCGCCAAAGGACAAGCCCTTCCCCGTCCTGTTCGAGCGCAAGGATTAAGATTTAGTCCCTGTGATTCGTGTTTCGGTATTTTTGCATATAAGTCACTAGTGAAAACCCTAAGTTCTGATGTATGAAGTAATTGTAAATGTAACAAAATAAAACAAGTATATTTTGTATTCGCATTTCGAAGTTGCATTCTAGCTTTAGAGATCATGGGTCACGTGACCGACACAGATAATACAAGCTAATGACCGACCTTAGAATACATTTACAAACAAATTTCCAACGATAACAAGGCACACGGAGTGCCTACAGGGAGCCCCCAATAATCACACAAGTTCATGGTGTTTTTCCATTAAATCTTTACACACAATATTTACTGTATAAAACCCCCTTCCATAGCTAGTAATGGAACGACATTGGTGTAAACTCGTTTGCCACCATCCAAAATTCTCGCTTATGCTCAATTTGATAAAATTATCAGTAGCTCGCGTTGGCGTTACGATCGTGGAGAGATAAAAGTCTATTACTGGACTGTTGGACTAATGATAGGGCACGGCAAATGGAGGTGGAAGTGACACTAGCTAACACAAGTCAGTGCGTCGTTAGCTCTCGATCGTAGCGGATCGTATATATTATAGTATTCAGTGGTTTACAGCAAAAAATGGCCAGCAAATGGGAATCGGACGAGGAGATTCAGTACTTTCGCGAGTATCTGCGCATCCCCAGTGTGCATCCTAATCCGGATTATGGTTAGTATCCGTTAGATAAGAGATTTAAAGCTCACCCACAAAATCTAGCCTTTAAGTCCTTTGTATAATACTAAAATCTGTATATATTTAATCGAGCGGTAGGCCACAGCAGCCAATGCTCAATATCCTATGTTAGCCTTTAGTTTACAACCAACTGCTAGCTTTATATAAATAAATAAATAAATTTTAATTTAGTTAGTCTGTAAATGACAGCAAACAACGGCTTACTTCATGTTTAGGATATTTCTCTGATTAAATTGTCAAATACTATATCCATTAATTAGTGAAAACTGCAGCTGTTGATATATATTTCCCACAGAACATATAAAAATATGTGCATCAAAAGATAAGATTGCACTTAAGCCAGAGATTGTTTTAATATTATATTATGATTATTTAATAATAATTTCTTCAGAGCCCTGCCTGAATTTTCTGAAGCGTCAAGCTGAGCAACTTGAACTACCCATTGAGGTTTACTATCCCGCGAATGACCAGAATCCTGTGGTGGTTTTGACCTGGGAGGGTCTGGAACCGGAGTTACCCAGCATTTTGCTCAACTCTCATATGGATGTGGTTCCCGTTTTCCCCGAGAACTGGACACATCCTCCATTCGGAGCAGATATCGATGAAAGGGGTCGGATTTTCGCCAGGGGTACACAGGATATGAAATGTGTGGGAATGCAATATCTGGCAGCTATAAGGGCTTTGAAAAGAAATGGTTCGCGATTCAAGAGAACTATCCACATATCCTTTGTGGCCGGTAAGCGTCTAAGGATTCTCGCTTCTAACAATATTTCTAATTTGAAAAATATCCCATAAGATGAGGAAATGGGCGGAAGACATGGAATGCGACCATTTGTGCATACAGAGGATTTCCGTAAACTGAATGTGGGTTTTGGCATGGACGAGGGTTTGGCATCACCCACAGAGGAGTTTCCTGTATTCTATGCAGAGCGAGCTGTTTGGCGTGAGTTATTATATTTATTACTAATAATAATAATCATTTAAAACAGATATATGACTCTCTTAAAGGTGTCTATTTCCATATAAGTGGCACTGCTGGCCATGGCTCGCTTCTGCTGCCCAATACCGCAGGAGAAAAACTTAATTATATAGTTGCCAAAATGATGGGCTTCCGGAAATTGCAGGTCCAGAGGCTGCAGAATAATCCTGAACTGGTTATAGGCGATGTGACCACCATTAACTTGACCCGCGTTGATGGTGGAGTTCAGAGCAATGTGGTGCCACCTTTGCTGACTGTTTGCTTTGATTGTCGTCTAGCCTTGGATGTGGATCATCAGGAATTTGAGGCGAATGTAGGTTATTCTTAAATCTGGGATTTATGTATTATTTATTATACATTTTTCTGTGTGCCCACAGCTCCACAAATGGTGTGATGATGTGGGTGGAGGCATAGACATCACCTACGAACAAAAGCAACCCAGAGTTTTGCCCACTGCCATCGATGACAGTAATCCCTTTTGGTTAGCTTTCAAGGCAGCCACCGATGAGCTGTATGTACTCTCTACTATTACATTTAGGAGATCCCTTATTTATCCTTATTCCAATTCTTTATCTTTCAGGGAACTTTCCATCAAGCCTCAAATATTTACTGGCGGCACTGATAGCAGATATATTCGTCAAGTTGGCATTCCTGCTTTGGGCTTTTCACCCATGAATAATACACCTGTGCTTCTGCATGATCACGACGAGTTCATTCAGGCAGATATATATCTCAGAGGAGTGCAGATATATCAGAAAATTATCAGCAATGTGGCAAATGTTTAGGTTATCTTTTTAACTTTGGTTTTTATATTGTTTGTTTATGTTTAATTATACTACAAATAAATACGATTATGACTTGAAGGTTTACACTATTATATTATTATTTAAATCCCATCAATACCCTACCTTAAAGACACTATTTGAAAGTTTTCGAGGTCATGAAGAAAGTCAAGCAAACGTTTTTTCTGGGTTATCCATGATAACTTTTATAATATTAATAAAAACGTACTACATGACTTGGTTAAAAAAGAGATGTCTTGTCAAACCTTTCGTAGCAGCTATCGCTTGTGTTTACGATCGAAATGCCTTGAGATAAAACCCTTGTCTGCTGATAAAGAGATAGAATATATCCAGTAGTCTGTCTGGGTTTAGCATTTAGTTTTAACCGAGCTTTCAAACAAGACACAATGAGCACCAAGAACTGGGATAACAATGAAGAGATACAGTATTTTCGCGAGTATCTAAGGATACCTAGTGTGCATCCTGAACCGAATTACAGTGGGTATTTTACATAATAGAATTTAATTTGATTAATAAATTAAGTCATTTGCCCCAGAACCTTGCATTGAGTTCCTAAACCGCCAGGCTGAAAGCTTAAAGTTACCCATTAGGGTTTTCTATCCTCTCAATGAGCAGAATCCTGTGGTGGTTTTGACCTGGGAAGGTATGGAGCCAGAGTTACCCAGCATTTTGCTCAACTCTCACATGGATGTGGTTCCCGTTTTCCCCGAGAACTGGACACATCCTCCATTCGGAGCAGATATCGATGAAGAAGGTCGGATTTTTGCCAGAGGAGCGCAGGATATGAAATGTGTGGGAATGCAATATCTGGCAGCTATAAGGGCTTTAAAAAAGAGTGGCTTGAGGTTAAAGAGAACCATTCACATATCTTTTGTGCCAGGTGAGAATAATTATTATTTTCTTATAAATATAAATATTAAAACTTGTCAATATCAGACGAAGAAGTTGGTGGAAGAAATGGAATGCTCCCCTTTGTGAATTCAAAGGAATTTCAATCCCTCAACATTGGATTTAGTTTGGATGAAGGAATAGCTTCACCCACCGATGAGTTTCCCGTTTTCTATGCTGAGCGAACAGTGAAACGTGAGATCCCTTTATAATATAATATTCCCTTAATTAATATTATTTCTTCTACCAGGTTTAATATTTAAATTTAGTGGATCTGCAGGACATGGCTTGCTCTTGATGCCGAATACTGCAGGGGAGAAGTTGAGCTATTTGGTGGGTAAGATGATGGAACTCAGGGCTGTTCAAGTGAAGCGTTTGAAGGATAATCCCAAGCTTCAGATTGGTGATGTGACCACCATTAACTTGACCACCGTGAACGGAGGAGTCCAGAGCAATGTGGTGCCACCCTACATAACTGCCACTTTCGATTGTCGCCTCTCCTTGGACACGGATATTGCCGAGTTTGAGGCTAATGTGGGTTTTAATTTATCCCAAATGCTTCTTTTATAATAATCCCTTTTTTGAGGCAGCTCCACAAATGGTGTGCAGAGGCAGGCGGCGATATTGAGTTTGAGTTTGGATCAAACTGGCGCAAAGGACACATTCCACCAACGGCCACAGATGCATCTAACCCCTTTTGGCTGGCTTTTAAGAGTGCCACGGATGAGCTGTAGGTTTAAGGTTTTTTAATTGTTTTAAGGAGACTCTAAAATATTTTTTATGAATTTTTCAGGGGTCTGTCGATCAATCTGCAGGTCTTCCCCGGTGGCACAGATAGTCGCTATATTCGAAATGCGGGTATTCCAGCCCTGGGCTTTTCTCCCATGAACCACACTCCCGTATTGCTGCATGATCATGATGAGTTTTTAGAGGCGGAAACCTATTTAAAGGGTGTGCAAATATACCAGAAAATAATATCCAGTGTAGCTAATGCATGAAAATTAATAGAAATATATATAAAAATACTAGAAAGACATGCTGATCTTGTAATTATTGGGTAAAGTATAGCGTATTGTATTGTTTTGTAATAATTTATCTAAAAGTTTCAAAAGTTTAGTTAGCATTTGTATTAAATATGAATATATAATATTTAAATCTATCCCCAAATTTTAAAGATATAATATATAAATAATAAATATTAAATTAAATTTATTTTTCACTTACCGATTTTCCCATTTTCGTTTTTGTTTTCTCCTTGTTCTTACTTCTTTTTTATTAAATTGGAAATTTACAGCATACATTCAATTTATATTATTAAACATTTTAAACAGTTAACTGTTACTTTACAACAAATATACCGCAAGAAAACAGTTATGCTGCAGCTCTTCTTTGGCCAAGTTGCATGCCACGCACACACACACACACTCATAAATAATGGCGGGTGCTGCTGCCCCGCATCGGCCGCGGGAGTCGCACTTGTTTTTATTGCAGTTTTAGTGGCTTAAATTCGTAATTTACTAGCTAATTCATTAAAAAATGTCTTCTTTTAATTATTACACACATAATTATGCACTTATTTATTAATTTCACATACGTATTTGCACAATTAATGATTTTTCTTATTCCGTTTCCCCCTCCCACGACTCTAATTGGAGGGAAAAACCGCGGCCAATTCACATTTACATAAATTCGTTATTATTTCACTTGATTAACGCTTAATTTAGTGTCCCCGCGCTAAAGTGCACTTAGTTCAACTGATTAAACCGATTGGTAGGTGTTATTAAACATAGTTCTCGATCTAAAAACGTTTTTTAGCAGCAGCACGACCTTATTCAACAAAATTTTTGCGGTTTTGATCCTCGCCTCTTTTCTTCTTTTTCGTCCTCTCTTTGGACATCGCTCTCTCGCTCCTGAAAAGCCGTCGTTACCACCTCAAACGAACTGGTGAGGTGAATTGGAAGAGAGGTGAAAAGCCGGTAAAGTGAAAAATTAGGTCGCGTTGCTACTAAAATAACGTTTATCTACGGAAAAAATGTGTAATAATACCTACAAAATAATTAATTCAATAAAACAAAGTGCGGTTTATGTGAGAATAATCAAATAATCATGGATAACATGTATTTTGCTACATAAAACTGATATTAAGTACAGCGACTCCTTTCAATTGGAGTTGTGGTGGCGAAAAAATGAAATTGAGCAAATGCCAAAGTGAACGGGTGTCCCGCCGAACATAAAAATGATAAGAAAGACATATTCAAAGTATTTGGCAAATTCAAATATAATTAAAGCTTGTAAACCTACAACAAAAACACTTGCGACCCCCCGCGGACAACGTGAGACGGCAGCGCCAGCAGCATCAGTCGCTAATGAGTGTACTCCAATTAGATGTTGCCAAGCCACGATTGAGTTGAGCGACAAATCGTCAAAATACCGTATGCAGGTGCGGTGAGATTCTGAGCGGGCGAAAAGAGCGGAGCGCAAAAGAGGACAAAGAGGTAGATCACAATTTGCCGAAAGTGAAAAAGTGCGGACGTGCAGCTGCTGCTGAAAAATTGTAACATCCGAAAAAACGTTTAATAATAGCTATTAAACATTTAGAACAGTTAAACTAAATGCAGTTCAGTGCTGGGACACTCAATTAAACATTAATCAAGTGAAATATTAAAGAAATAATGTAAATGAGTAGTCAAAGCAGTTTTTCCCCACCAACTAGAATGGTGGGGGGGGGAGCGCAATAAGAAAAATCATAAATTACGCAAAATACCGAAGTGAAATGAATAAATAAGTACAAATTAATGTACGTAATAACAAGAAGAAGACATTTTTAAACAAATTAGCAAGTGAATATTGAGTTAAAGCCGCTAAAACTGCAATTAAAAATGTGAGACTCCAGCGGACAATGCAAGGCAGCAGCCGCCATTATGTACATATGTGTGCGTGTGCAGTCTACGAAAATTTGTGTCCTTTTAAGTCCTTTGTATAATACTAAAATCTGTATATATTTAATCGAGCGGTAGGCCACAGCAGCCAATGCTCAATATCCTATGTTAGCCTTTAGTTTACAACCAACTGCTAGCTTTATATAAATAAATAAATAAATTTTAATTTAGTTAGTCTGTAAATGACAGCAAACAACGGCTTACTTCATGTTTAGGATATTTCTCTGATTAAATTGTCAAATACTATATCCATTAATTAGTGAAAACTGCAGCTGTTGATATATATTTCCCACAGAACATATAAAAATATGTGCATCAAAAGATAAGATTGCACTTAAGCCAGAGATTGTTTTAATATTATATTATGATTATTTAATAATAATTTCTTCAGAGCCCTGCCTGAATTTTCTGAAGCGTCAAGCTGAGCAACTTGAACTACCCATTGAGGTTTACTATCCCGCGAATGACCAGAATCCTGTGGTGGTTTTGACCTGGGAGGGTCTGGAACCGGAGTTACCCAGCATTTTGCTCAACTCTCATATGGATGTGGTTCCCGTTTTCCCCGAGAACTGGACACATCCTCCATTCGGAGCAGATATCGATGAAAGGGGTCGGATTTTCGCCAGGGGTACACAGGATATGAAATGTGTGGGAATGCAATATCTGGCAGCTATAAGGGCTTTGAAAAGAAATGGTTCGCGATTCAAGAGAACTATCCACATATCCTTTGTGGCCGGTAAGCGTCTAAGGATTCTCGCTTCTAACAATATTTCTAATTTGAAAAATATCCCATAAGATGAGGAAATGGGCGGAAGACATGGAATGCGACCATTTGTGCATACAGAGGATTTCCGTAAACTGAATGTGGGTTTTGGCATGGACGAGGGTTTGGCATCACCCACAGAGGAGTTTCCTGTATTCTATGCAGAGCGAGCTGTTTGGCGTGAGTTATTATATTTATTACTAATAATAATAATCATTTAAAACAGATATATGACTCTCTTAAAGGTGTCTATTTCCATATAAGTGGCACTGCTGGCCATGGCTCGCTTCTGCTGCCCAATACCGCAGGAGAAAAACTTAATTATATAGTTGCCAAAATGATGGGCTTCCGGAAATTGCAGGTCCAGAGGCTGCAGAATAATCCTGAACTGGTTATAGGCGATGTGACCACCATTAACTTGACCCGCGTTGATGGTGGAGTTCAGAGCAATGTGGTGCCACCTTTGCTGACTGTTTGCTTTGATTGTCGTCTAGCCTTGGATGTGGATCATCAGGAATTTGAGGCGAATGTAGGTTATTCTTAAATCTGGGATTTATGTATTATTTATTATACATTTTTCTGTGTGCCCACAGCTCCACAAATGGTGTGATGATGTGGGTGGAGGCATAGACATCACCTACGAACAAAAGCAACCCAGAGTTTTGCCCACTGCCATCGATGACAGTAATCCCTTTTGGTTAGCTTTCAAGGCAGCCACCGATGAGCTGTATGTACTCTCTACTATTACATTTAGGAGATCCCTTATTTATCCTTATTCCAATTCTTTATCTTTCAGGGAACTTTCCATCAAGCCTCAAATATTTACTGGCGGCACTGATAGCAGATATATTCGTCAAGTTGGCATTCCTGCTTTGGGCTTTTCACCCATGAATAATACACCTGTGCTTCTGCATGATCACGACGAGTTCATTCAGGCAGATATATATCTCAGAGGAGTGCAGATATATCAGAAAATTATCAGCAATGTGGCAAATGTTTAGGTTATCTTTTTAACTTTGGTTTTTATATTGTTTGTTTATGTTTAATTATACTACAAATAAATACGATTATGACTTGAAGGTTTACACTATTATATTATTATTTAAATCCCATCAATACCCTACCTTAAAGACACTATTTGAAAGTTTTCGAGGTCATGAAGAAAGTCAAGCAAACGTTTTTTCTGGGTTATCCATGATAACTTTTATAATATTAATAAAAACGTACTACATGACTTGGTTAAAAAAGAGATGTCTTGTCAAACCTTTCGTAGCAGCTATCGCTTGTGTTTACGATCGAAATGCCTTGAGATAAAACCCTTGTCTGCTGATAAAGAGATAGAATATATCCAGTAGTCTGTCTGGGTTTAGCATTTAGTTTTAACCGAGCTTTCAAACAAGACACAATGAGCACCAAGAACTGGGATAACAATGAAGAGATACAGTATTTTCGCGAGTATCTAAGGATACCTAGTGTGCATCCTGAACCGAATTACAGTGGGTATTTTACATAATAGAATTTAATTTGATTAATAAATTAAGTCATTTGCCCCAGAACCTTGCATTGAGTTCCTAAACCGCCAGGCTGAAAGCTTAAAGTTACCCATTAGGGTTTTCTATCCTCTCAATGAGCAGAATCCTGTGGTGGTTTTGACCTGGGAAGGTATGGAGCCAGAGTTACCCAGCATTTTGCTCAACTCTCACATGGATGTGGTTCCCGTTTTCCCCGAGAACTGGACACATCCTCCATTCGGAGCAGATATCGATGAAGAAGGTCGGATTTTTGCCAGAGGAGCGCAGGATATGAAATGTGTGGGAATGCAATATCTGGCAGCTATAAGGGCTTTAAAAAAGAGTGGCTTGAGGTTAAAGAGAACCATTCACATATCTTTTGTGCCAGGTGAGAATAATTATTATTTTCTTATAAATATAAATATTAAAACTTGTCAATATCAGACGAAGAAGTTGGTGGAAGAAATGGAATGCTCCCCTTTGTGAATTCAAAGGAATTTCAATCCCTCAACATTGGATTTAGTTTGGATGAAGGAATAGCTTCACCCACCGATGAGTTTCCCGTTTTCTATGCTGAGCGAACAGTGAAACGTGAGATCCCTTTATAATATAATATTCCCTTAATTAATATTATTTCTTCTACCAGGTTTAATATTTAAATTTAGTGGATCTGCAGGACATGGCTTGCTCTTGATGCCGAATACTGCAGGGGAGAAGTTGAGCTATTTGGTGGGTAAGATGATGGAACTCAGGGCTGTTCAAGTGAAGCGTTTGAAGGATAATCCCAAGCTTCAGATTGGTGATGTGACCACCATTAACTTGACCACCGTGAACGGAGGAGTCCAGAGCAATGTGG